ACGAATTCCTTATGTTTCTGTTCTTCTGATTTTTTTTTTGCGATGGTCTTGTGAGGGAATTGTGTGAGGGATTCTTGATGGTCTTGTGAGAGACTTGTGTGAGTGACTTGTGATAGTCTTGTGAGGAACTTTTGTGAGGAACTTGTGATGGTCTTGTAAGAGACTTTTGTGAGGGACTTATGATGGTCTCGTGAGGGACTTGTGTGAGTGACTTGTGATAGTCTTGTGAGGAACTTGTGTGAGGAACTTGTGATAGTCTTGTGAGGAACTTGTGTGAGTGACTTATGTGAGGGGTGAGGGACGTCTTGTCAGGAACTTTTCAAGGACTTGTGATGTAATTATGATGGATTTGTCAAGGACTTGTGACGGACTTGTGAGGGTCTTGTCAAGGTCTTGTGTACATTTTCTTGCTTTTCCTTTCTGCTATTAAAATTTTTTAAATAGGTGTATGTAGGATATAAATATAGCACTGTAAATTTACTTACTTTCATTTGTTGTACAGATGAAGGAATTTGACGAAACGTTTGAATTTGAATTTTGTGGAACGAAAATTAAAGCTTACATCTCCTGTTTATTACACACATCGTTTGTGTCTCATTAACTGATATAATTAAAACAAACCCAATTTGTCCTTTAAGTAATTTTTAAAAAAATTTTCTATGAGAAATTATAATTCCGATGGGCTCAACTTATTTTGCTACAAAAAATTCCCTAATACACCCGTTAAATTCTATTGCTAGTTATAATTTTTATGTTGATATTATGACCATGGACCTCGTGGGATTATCACAGTCAATTAATACGGTTTGTGTGCTGATTAATATGCTGTGATTATTAACTGACCTAGTTCTATAGGGATAGTTTTGTGCGAGCCAACTAAGCCAATGTTCAAAACACTGGAACTGTTAGGTCAGAACATTTCATTTTGGAAATCATTAATGAAGAATCATATTTGAGAGGTCATAGTTAAGTCTCGGAAAACTGTTTTAAAATTATTTTTATTATTTAGATGTGGTCCTGTTCTTAATTTAGGAGTAGTCATATTTGAGAGGTCATAGTTAAGTCTCGGAAAACTGTTTTAAAACTATTTTTATTATTTAGATGTGCTCCTGTTCTTAATTTAGGAGTAGTCACTTTATCTAGGATTTGTGCTATTGTTTTTAATGCACGGGGGAAAGGAGGGGGGGGGTTAAAGAATGTATTCTTTTTTCTAGAGATTTATCGTGGTTGTCATTTGGAACCTTTTGGTGTCATAAGGACCGGCCCAGGGTGTCATCAGGACCGATCCAGGATGTCATCAGGACCGGCCCATGGTGTCATTAGGACCGGCCCATGGTGTCATCAGGACCGGCCGAGGGTGTCATCGGAACTGACCCAGGGTGTAATCAGGAACGGCTCAGGGTGTCATCAGGACTTGCCCAGTGTGGCATCGTTATGTCCGGTTAATTAAAAATGTACACCTTATCATTTATTAAAATGAATGTTTGAAATATAACCTTTATGAAGTCGACATTTATATGATGATGATATTTTAAATGAGATGTCATTTAAATGAGGTTGATATTTAATACACTATCAATATTTATTTTTGTTGATCACAACATGAATTACGAATATTATAAGAAAACTTTTGATAGAAATCTGACCAATTCTCAACATTCCAGACCAACAACTACTTGCAAATGTTGACTTATTTCTGATTTTTATTTCTTTAAAACTAATGGATAGTTATTATTTAATAATTTATGCTTCATTATGGTTTCACGGAGAACTAAATTAATGGTCAACAAAATAAAGGCAGCCAAAAAAAATAATTTTTGGAAAAGAAAACATCATTTTGTGTTGTTCTTTTGAATAAAGTCTAAATCAATGCACATTTCAATGACTAAAGAATGGTTGTTAAACAAGAGCGATTGGTTAAGAAACAAAGTTAGCTGTGTAACTTGTGCAGTGAATAAGAATTATTTTAATATTTTTCAAAAACATTAAATGTGAAGAGAAAATGCAAAAAAAACAAACAATAACAACACAAAAACCCACATAATATCGATATGTCTCAATCAAACAAATCAATGCCGCTTCAATCAAACAAATAAATACAGTCTTAATCAAACAAATCAAACTCGTCTCAATCTAATAAATCAATAGGTCTCAGACAAATAAATCAATACAATCTCAATCAAATAAATCGACATCGTCTCAATCAAACAAATCAATACCGTCTCAGTCAAACCATTTAATACGGTCTCAATCAAATAATTCAAAAGTCTCAATAAAAAAAAGCAATACAGTTCCAATCAAATGAATCAATACAGTCTCAATGAAATAAATCAATACAGTCTCAATCAAATAAATCAATACAGTGTCAATCACACACATTAATACAGTCTCAATGAAATAAATCAATACAGTCTTAATCAAGTAAATCAATACAGCATCAAACTAATAAATCAATACAATTTCAATCTAATAAATCAATACAGTCCCAATCAAGCAAATGAATACAGTCTCAATCAAATCAGACAATATGGTCTCAATCAAATAAATCAATATTATAGTCTCAATAAAATAAATCAATAAGGTCTCAATCAAACAAATTAATAGAGTCTCAATCAAATAAATCAATACAATTTCAATCAAATAAATCAATACAGTCTCAATAAAAAAAAATACAGTCTCAATCAAACAAATTAATAGAGTCTCAATCAAATAAATCAGTACAATTGCAATCAAAAAATCAATGCAGTCCCGATCAAACTAATCAATACAGTCTCAATCAAACAAATCAATACAGTTTCAATCAAACAAATCAATACAGTCCCAATCATACAAATCAATACAGTCTCAATCAAACAAATCAATACAGTTTCAATCAAACAAATCAATACAGTTTCAATCAAACAAATCAATACAGTCCCAATCATACAAATCAATACAGTCTCAATCAAATAAATCAATACAGTTTCAATCAAACAAATCAATACAGTTTCAATCAAACAAATCAATACAGTCCCAATCAAACAAATCAATACAGTCCCAATCAAACAAATCAATACAGTCTCGATTAAACAAATCAATACAATTTCAATCAAATAAATCAATACAGTCTCAATCAAACAAATTAATAGAGTCTCAATCAAATAAATCAGTACAATTGCAATCAAATAAATCAATACAATCCCGATCAAACAAATCAATACAATCTCAATCAAACAAATCAATACAGTTTCAATCAAACAAATCAATACAGTCCCAATCATACAAATCAATACAGTCTCAATCAAACAAATCAATACAGTTTCAATCAAACAAATCAATACAGTTTCAATCAAATAAATCAATACAGTTTCAATCAAACAAATCAATACAGTCCCAATCAAACAAATCAATACAGTCCCAATCATACAAATCAATACAGTCTCAATCAAACAAATCAATACAGTTTCAATCAAACAAATCAATACAGTTTCAATCAAATAAATCAATACAGTCCCAATCAAACAAATCAATACAGTCCCAATCAAACAAATCAATACAGTCTCGATTAAACAAATCAATACAATTTCAATCAAATAAATCAATACAGTCTCAATCAAACAAATCAATACAATTTCAATCAAATAAATCAATACAGTCCCGATCAAACAAATCAATACCGTCTCAATCAAACAAATCAATACAATTTCAATCAAATAAATCAATACAGTCCCAATCAAACAAATCAATACAGTCCCAATCAAACAAATCAATACAGTCTCAATCAAACAAATCAATACAGTCTCAATCAAACAAATCAATACAGTATCAGTTAAACGACAAACTCAGATAGCTACTCCGAGTATTCAGTTCTTGGCTGTTTAGCAACAGTGTCAGTTACCTTTTGACTCAGTTTCTGGTCTCATTGATAACTCCGAGATTGTATTTCCTTTGTTGTGTAAGCCTTGATTTATTAATTAGCGCTTAGGACAGGAAATACGTCACTTAGGCCTATTTTTTCCGTGGTATGTAAACAGAGCTGCACGCCTGCTGTAGGACATTTCAGGGAACAGTTGAATCTTTCGAAGACGTGTTTGATATCTTTTAAGATATTTGCCATGAAGACAATTACGGCAGTTACAAAGAGTTGGAGAATGTGTATGTTTGATGACCTTGGATAAGCCTAGTCTGTGTAAGGCTTTGCGCTGCAAGACATTTTTCATACTTGAATTGATTAAAATCAATATGTGGTTTCTTGTGTGCGACTGTCGTCTAATGAAAGGAGGCGTCTAGCCGAAACAATCATTTAATAATTTTGTCTTTCATTTTCAAACCTTAACATGTCTTTTACTACTATTATTTTCATTCATTAAAATATACATTTAGTAAATATATCATTGCAGAGATCTGCCTAAAACATCCTGGTAAAATATACATTTTTTAAACTTAATAACTTTTCGTAATGACGGATATATAATAATTTTGCGATTTTTTAATTTAAAAAAAATTAAATTTGTATTATGCTAATTTGCCCAACAATAGATCACGTGAAAATTACTGGGGGACATTTTTTCTACCAAAGCGCCACCTTTTACTGTATGGGGGGGGGGGGGAATAAGATTTATTGACGACATTCTTTGTGATTCCCATAATAAAAGAAATCACAACTGATGTAAAAAATGTTGTAGTATTTTAGAAGGTTCTAAAACTAGAAGGTCGTATGCCAATCTCCCAGCTTCCCCCTGCGACCTGCCAAATGAGTAATGTTACTGGTTGTGATAGGACACGACATAACTGTGGAGTCTTCAAGGGGGGCCATCAAATTCTTCTTATCCGGCCCCTATACTGTCTAATATTTTACACAGTAAGCGATAATGTGTTAACGCTAAAAGGCGATTCATAGATTTATCATTTGTAGAGATAACGTAGCCGGTATTAAACATACTAGACACTTTTTTTCGTTATCAACTGTCAAAATAAATGAACTCGACAAACGAGGCGATAGCACATATTGTGTTCTGAGAGTCTGTCATGGCGCATGATAATCTTAACGTCCTGTAGCCTGTATTCAAACTGGCGTGTCTAAAGTAATGTGTTAGTGTAAGGTTAGGCAGTGGTAGAGATTATGACCTGAATCTTTATTTTAGATTTGTCACGTATTTCAAACGTTAAATACAGCTTTAATTCGTGTTTTTACGTAGATTTAATAACTATATAAACGAAAAGATTAGTTCATTCTTATTTAGCTGTTGTGTTGGTTTCGCTAAAAGTCAAATCAGTTGTCAAAAGGCTTCCGCTACATCACTTTTCTGGTGGTTCCATTGGTAACAGTGTATGGCGCTTTCATGTAAAGTCGCTTGTCAAGTCGTGGTATGGTCTTATTCTTTTTTAAAACATACCTAAAATAATGTTTGTATATAACTTTATTATTTTGTATAAATATCTATAAATGTGATTAACATCCACGTAAGACGAGATAATTAATGGGTTCATTTCATGTTTTTTTATCGCCTGAATAATAAATACTATGGGTTATATATAATATTTAGATATGTTATATGTTTATTTATATTTCAGGAATTCGTTACTGTCTAAGTAAAGTGAAAATAGTCTGCCATGACATATGTTGGAAACACATGTGAAATTTTCAGAAATACTGTGAATTTAAATGTATATAATATAGCATTTAAGAGAATTTAAGCAAAATAAATCAGGTATATTGAAGTTTTTCTTTGTCGAAAAAGCTGACACTTTGAACTAAAAAAAAAAAAGGAATTGAAACAAGTCTTCTTAACACCTGAATACTCTAATGGATTTCAATGGACGTGATATATAAATACTGTGAATTTAAATGTATATAATATAGCATTTAAGAGAATTTAAGCAAAATAAATCAGGTATATTGAAGTTTTTCTTTGTCGAAAAAGCTGACACTTTGAACTAAAAAAAAAAAAAGGAATTGAAACAAGTCTTCTTAACCCCTGAATACTCTAATGGATTTCAATGGACGTGATCTATAGTTGATATAAGGGTGTATGTAGGTGACACATGGGTAACATAGAGGTAATGCATAGGTGTAAATAGGTGATGTATATGTGTTATATAGGTGATATAGAGGTGTATCTTTTGCCATCACAGAAACAAGAATGAGTTTAGAAGATTTCAACATCTACTTCATAAACAATTGGATCCTGATACCAGTGGTAAGTAGGTCATTGTCATGTCTGTAGGTCACTGTCATGTCTGTCATAACACATCGATTATCAGCTGCGTGTCTGAAACTATGGTCACCTTAAGCCATGGGCCCGCTAACTATGGTCACTTAGGGCACGGTTCAGCTAACTATGGCCACTTTGGGCACGGGTCAGCTAACTATGGTCACTTACGGCACGGGTCAGCTAACTATGGCCACTTTGGGCACGGGTCAGCTAACTATGGTCACTTAAGGCACGGGTCAGCTAACTATGGTCACTTAGGGCACGGGTCAGCTAACTATGGTCACTTAAGGCACGGGTCAGCTAACTATGGTCACTTAAGGCACGGGTCAGCTAACTATGGTCACTTAAGGCACGGGTCAGCTAACTATGGTCACTTAAGGCACGGGTCAGCTAACTGTGGTCACTTAGGGCACGGGTCAGCTAACTATGGTCACTTAGGGCACGGGTCAGCTAACTATGGTCACTTAGGGCACGGGTCAGCTAACTATGGTCACTTAGGGCACGGGTCAGCTAACTATGGTCACTTAGGGCACGGGTCAGCTAACTATGGTCACTTAGGGCACGGGTCAGCTAACTATGGTCACTTAGGGCACGGGTCAGCTAACTATGGTCACTTAGGGCACGGGTCAGCTAACTATGGTCACTTAGGGCACGGGTCAGCTAACTATGGTCACTTAGGGCACGGGTCAGCTAACTATGGTCACTTAGGGCACGGGTCAGCTAACTATGGTCACTTAGGGCACGGGTCAGCTAACTATGGTCACTTAGGGCACGGGTCAGCTAACTATGGTCACTTAGGGCACGGGTCAGCTAACTATGGTCACTTAGGGCACGGGTCAGCTAACTATGGTCACTTAGGGCACGGGTCAGCTAACTATGGTCACTTAGGGCACGGGTCAGCTAACTATGGTCACTTAGGGCACGGGTCAGCTAACTATGGTCACTTAGGGCACGGGTCAGCTAACTATGGTCACTTAGGGCACGGGTCAGCTAACTATGGTCACTTAGGGCACGGGTCAGCTAACTATGGTCACTTAGGGCACGGGTCAGCTAACTATGGTCACTTAGGGCACGGGTCAGCTAACTATGGTCACTTAGGGCACGGGTCAGCTAACTATGGTCACTTAAGGCACGGGTCAGCTAACTATGGTCACTGAGGGCACGGGTCAGCTAACTATGGTCACTTAGGGCACTGGTCAGCTAACTATGGTCACTTAAGGCACGGGTCAGCTAACTATGGTCACTGAGGGCACGGGTCAGCTAACTGTGTTAAGCGGCCTTAAGTCTTTCTTTTATTTTTTCGTCTCTCAAATGGATTTTTTACTTTTTCTTTGTAAGATATTTTGTTCATCAGATCCATGAATCATATGTAGCTGTCATGAATCATCTGTAGCTGTCATGAATCATATGTAGCTGTCATGAATCATATGTAGCTGTCATGAATCATATGTAGCTGTCATGAATCATATGTAGCTGTCATTTAAATGTTCATCCCACGTTCTTAAATGTCCCACATTTTAATTAAAAAGGCTAATTTTGGACTTTATGAGTCTAAGCGTTGTCTCTCATCTGTGAGTGCCTCGTGTAACATAAGTAGACAACTTTTGATGACACCTTCCACTTACATCAAACCTTGTACAATACCACATGACGCTACGCTGTACCAGACCACCTGACAGCCACGTTGTACTGTACAACGTTACACTGCACTGTACCATACCACCTGACACCTATGTTCTCCCATACCCCCTGACACCTATGTTGTACCTGACACCTATGTTGTACCTAACACCCACATTGGACCATACCGCCCGACACCTATGTTGTACCATACCACCTGACACCTATGTTGTACCTGACACCCACGTTTTTCTCACCCTGCATAAATTACATTTACTTGACAATATATTATAAACTGAATTAAACAATAAATTGTTGATTTCAATAGTTTTTGAATTTTTGTTGATTGTTAATGAATAAAAAAAAACAATGTTGAGGTTAGTTGAAGGGTTGGTCACTTGCTGCTAGTTACTTCATTTTCAACTGCACTGCTTATCCCTAGTAATGGATAAATAGCTAATAATATTGTTTTAAAGCAAAAATTCTTTACCCAATTTATAGATCGCTTTTTCTAATTTCGAATCCGTCACTAAATATTTATTAGCAAATATTTCTAACAACGTACAAGACTGCGAATGTCACTACATGTATCTTTATAATATGTAAATGACTTTATATGTTGACTTTGTAAATGTAAAAAGCACTAAATATTGTATAAGGAGTTTGACATGAAAATCTTGAGATAATCCAGTTACAAGAGGAGCAGTGGTTCCCAGATTTTTTTCTCTCCCGTACTCTTTTATTAGACGTGTCATTTATAAATAACCCCACCCCCACCTTGCCCACACACACCCTCACACACAACTTTCCTTACTTCCAGTTATCCCTAAACAAAATTAAAAACAATAGATCAGCTAAATAATGAAATGAAGCTGATACAGTCAATGACTTTATTACACTTTTATTTTCTATTTTACAAGTTAGTTCCATTTCTTTTGTTGCAAATTAATTTTTTTTTTTTTTTTAAATCTGTTACCCCCATAAATTTTTCACAAAAGTACAATAATTATTCCTTAACTTTTGAATAACAGTTATTCATGTTGCATGATTATGGTACAATTTGTCTCTTTAAATCAATAATATTTGAAAATGATCATTGATTGTGTTTCATGAATCCTAGCTTTATTTTTTTAAAAGGCTTAATACAAGATTAGATATTACGTCAATCTCATTGCGATATTTACAATTAATGCATCTTTAAGATCAGAATGTTCTTTCGAAAACGGCCAAATAGGGTTTGTCATTCCCAAGACCCGAATATGTCACATTGCATTACGTAAATTGAGGGGGTGGGTGGAGTTACAACTGGTCCTGGTCGACATTATGCCCATATTTGCCGATTATAGATACATCGCCCTAGGGCGTAGCTAGGGTTAGTGTCACCCTGGGTGGGCCAAGATGTGCTTTCCTTCCGTCTACGCTAAAAAACAATCTCCAGTTAGCCGAAAATACACCACCTCCATAAAAGGAGAAAAAATGGACATGGGGTTGGATCGCCGTCGATGCCTCTGACACTGGTCATCCGAATATCTGAATTTCCCACCCTCATTAACTATTGAGTGGAAGAGACACTACAAACATATACATATAGAATCGACCAACGTCCACGACGAACCTGGGAGCTGGTGACAATCTGTCACTTGATGAAATTTAGCCCAAAAGAAACAAAAAAAAGAGGAAATAAATTGTATTCTAAAATGAGAACCTGGGATTTCTCGGGATGGGAAAATTTCCCGGGAAGTCTTTTGTGTACTAAAAATCCCAGGTTCCTGGGAGAGAAAAACCTTGTACAGGCATCTCGGTGAAACCAATCTCCAGCCCCCCCACCTCCCGCTTCAGAATTCAATAGCATAAAATTCAGAATTAACAATAGAATATGTTTCGTGACTTTTCTTTAAAAAAAAAAAAAAAATTCAACACAGCTCGCCATAATCACCTGGAAGAAACTCTCTTCATTCATTAATAATGAGCACCATATGCTTTAACATTTGTGACATAAAGACTTTATTACTAAATATCAAATCTAGGAACATATCAAACAATGATCAGAAAACCCTTTTCAATTTCTAAATAATCCTATATCTGAAATACATTACAGGCATGCATTATCTGGTTTCTGTCATTCTTGGAAAAGCGCAAAAGGCGCCAGGACGTGTGTGATGGACGTCCAGCATTGATCATGTATGTTCACCTCCCTGAAGTTTACTTCTCTTGCTATTGATATCCTTGATTTCAGTAATCCTATTACATTTTATATCCTAGTTTCAGTAGTCCTATTACATTTGATATCCTAGTTTCAGTAGTAATATTACATTTGATATCCTAGTTTCAGTAGTAATATTACATTTGATATCCTAGTTTCAGTAGTAATATTACATTTGATATCCTAGTTTCAGTAGTCCTATTACATTTGATACCCTAGTTTCAGTAGTAATATTACATTTGATATCCTAGTTTCAGTAGTAATATTACATTTGATATCCTAGTTTCAGTAGTAATATTACATTTGATATCCTAGTTTCAGTAGTAATATTACATTTGATATCCTAGTTTCAGTAGTAATATTACATTTGATATCCTAGTTTCAGTAGTAATATTACATTTGATATCCTAGTTTCAGTAGTAATATTACATTTGATATCCTTGATTTCAGTAGTCCTGTTATATTTGATATCCTTGATTTCAGTAGTCCTGTTACATTTGATATCCTAGTTTCAATAGTAATATTACATTTGATATCCTTGATTTCAGTAGTCCTGTTACATTTGATATCCTAGTTTCAATAGTAATATTACATTTGGTATCCTTGATTTCAGTAGTAATATTACATTTGGTATCCTTGATTTCAGTAGTCCTATTACATTTGATATCCTTGATTTCAGTAGTAATATTACATTTGGTATCCTTGATTTCAGTAGTAATATTACATTTGGTATCCTTGATTTCAGTAGTAATATTACATTTGGTATCCTTGATTTCAGTAGTAATATTACATTTGGTATCCTTGATTTCAGTAGTAATATTACATTTGGTATCCTTGATTTCAGTAGTAATATTACAGCAAACATTTATTTCTTGAATAATTAACTCTTTTCATTAACCGTCTACATTACTTTAACAGTATGTAACGCACTGCTTCTGACATACGACAATGATTACATATAACATTGATACAAATATTAAATATAACAAAGATTACAATGTAGTACAATGACAACGGTGAACGTGTTAAATATGCAACGATGACAATGACAATAATAATATCCAGCTCTTTGCAGACCGATTCCCTTCCTGGACGGCTATGAGAACAGAATGGCGTACTCCGTGGCTTTTGGTACCATCACCAACACATTCGTCTCACTGGTGTTATCAGAAGATACCCTGGGCTTCGACATGCCATTGTGGGGACGAGGTAAACAGTAGTAACGATCGATACAGAACATGGTCTTATTTTTTATTTCTCTGTAAATTCAGAAATTGTTTCGATTTTTAAAAAAAAATATTCATCAAATTGTACTTCAATACATGTTCCTAAATCTCGACACCACGTGTTTGCCTTGAGACTTACGGAAAACGCACTTTCGCATTTGCTGGTCCAACAATTTGGATCGCCCTTCCTGTCGATCTTAGAAACAACCAGACACTGGAGTCCTTTAAAACCGATCTAAAGACACATCTATTTCGCAAATACCTTCTGGGATGATTGTCTACCTTATTTTCCAGTTGATGCATAATGGATGTGTTGCTCCGGGTTGAAATGGCTAGAAAGACTTTGAGATTGTATGCTTGAAATTAGTTTTTGTAGTGTTGCGTTTGTTTTAAATGTGGTAAATGATAGATATGTTTTTTGTTGATTTTGTACCGCGCTTCGAGACTTTGGGGATGAAGCGTGTTTTTGAAATGAACTTTATTATTATTATTATTATTATATATAATGAATTTGCAGGTAATACATTTTGTTATTTTGTGTATAAGAAGAAATGTAAATTGCGCATTGATTTAAAATATTGCCTTCCTTAAAAACACAATGGCATATACGACTACAAAATAAAATTATGTATTATCCTCGTTTCAGCTCTCTACGTGTACCTTCAAGCCTTCATTGGCTGTCTGACTTGTTTCCCTTTGGTGGCTTGTCTGTCCACACGGTACAGGGCCATTGGCGCTATTATTTGTATACTTTATTCTATGACGTGGTAAGGTTTTTTTTTTATGTCGCGTTACCTACCTTAAAAGAAAATGATGACGTAACGATTGATCCATTTGATAAATATTATTTTTTTACAAAATGCTTTGTAATTTGTTATGCTTATTTCTTTATCTTTGCTTTTTTTATTTTGAATATAACCTATACATTGTAGAAAGCTTCATTTGAATTTAAATGCTCATTACGTAACTTGTATAGGTTTTTTTTATTTCGAATGTTTGATAAATACTGAGCTGTGCTTTTTACATACACAATTTTTGTGAAAATTATTATGAAATGCAATTTGATATTGATTCAGATAACTTGTGATTCAGATAACTTGTGATTCAGATAACTTGTGATTCAGATAACTTGTGATTCAGATAACTTGTGATTCAGATAACTTGTGATTCAGATAAATGAAATTAAATGTTGATAATCTACTTCAGGTTTTCCCTAAATGTGGTGGAAACAATAAAGGAAGTTCGTGAGAGTGAGAATGACACACTGTGGGGGATGGCAGTAAGTTACCGGTTGAAACTTGGCAACATCTCACAACTTTTTTTACAGTTAAAGATAGAGTGGTTTTATGAAAAGCATCGACCACTAAATAAAATTATCCATTTTTATCCTGATTGCGATAAAATAAATCCAATATTGACCTTTCGGATATTTGTCATAATTGATCAACTGATTATTTCTATTTATTGAATCCTCCCTGGTGTTCAGCCCTTTGACGATGTGACCTTCAGCCTATCTAAGGCCAACGCCATCTTACAAGGCCTTCCAAGCATCTTCTGTTACCTCGTCCTCATGGGATATTGTGTCTACGTCCTATATAGATGTGTCGTCAATAGAACATTTTACAATAGAGTGAGTAGACTATAGAGTGAGCAGACATTAGAGTGATTATGTAATAGAGTCGAAAATAAAGTGAGTGGACTATAGAATGAGTAGACACTAGAGTGAGTATAAAATAGAGTTAGTAAACAATAGAATGAGTAGACAATAGATCGAGTTGACAATAGAAGAAGTATACAAGAGATTAAGTAGAAAATAGAGTGATTATACAATAGAGTGAGTAGACAATGATGTTACAACTTAATCTGGATTTTGTCGTAAATGCATCCTTTCACAATTATTATCCGAAATCCACTGTAGCGTAGAGACATATGGATAACGTTAGTAAAACAATATCCACAATCCTACTTAATGTCTAGTGATGATTCATCTAATGATTATCATGTTCTTAGAGGTTGGACAAAAATTGTGGCTTAGGATCACCTATATGACGTAGCATATATTATAGTGAACCGCAATATACTGAAGGTTTTAGGTATGCATTATGTATATACTAAAGTTTTTCCGTTTTTATTGGGTATATACGAAAGTTTTTAGAATATGCATTCGGTATATACTGAAGGTTTTAGTTATGCATTGGGTATGTACTGAAGATTTTAGGTATGCATTTGGTATATACTACTAAAGTTTTTCGGTTTGTACTGGGTATATACGAACGTTTTAAGAATATGCATTCGGTATGTACTGAAGGTTTTAGGTATGCATTTGGTATTCACTTTAAACAATTGTAGATATGAATGGTAGTTTCGTGATTTTGTTGTTGTTATATTGGTAAATAATCCACTTAAATTGCCCACCCCATTCAGCACACTGAAGGCTCTGTAAGGCGTCATCAAGAGGATCACGTGAGATGGGTTTTGAGGAAGTCCAAAGATAAAACTTACATTGATGACGCGGTGGGACCTAAAAAGTCTTTTGTGGAGAGAATGTAATTTTTAAACGCTATTTTATTTGCTACTTCAATATTACATTTAGAATTTAGTTTAATTCGTTCAACTATAAGATAATTTGAGCTGGAAATCTTTATAATATTAAATAATTTGAACTCGAAATATTCATTGTTATTTATATAAAATAATTTGAAAACGAAATATTCATCTTTATTAATATAAAATAATTTGAACTCGAAATATTCATCTTTATTCATATAAACGGTAAAAAAATGCTTAATAAATGAAGGTCAGGCTCATGATTATGGTCACTCAAAATTTATTTATGTGTACTTATTCTCATTGCTAGATGATTCTGTGACATATTTCTAACCTGTAATTTGTAACTATACATAAATTACTTAGGCTCCCTACTTAATGAATAAGACTGGTGCCACTTAATTAACTATGGCGTCATGTTGTCAGGGCCAAAGACAGGAAACTACGCCTCGTCAAAAGTTTACCATTCTTCAAGTATCCAACGAAAATATTTGCCATCGCCTTTGTTCAGGTCAACATCATCTACTGGGTAAGATATTCATCTCATCCGTGACGACAGACACATAAGATATTCTTCTCATCAATGATGACATATATATATTCATCACATCAGTGACGACAGACACATAAGATATTCTTCTCATCAGTGATGACATACACATAAGATATTCTTCTCATCAGTGATGACATACACATACGATATTCTTCTCATCAGTGATGACATATACATAACATATTCTTCTCATCAATGATGACATATACATAAGATATTCTTCTTATCAATGACGTCATACACATACAAACTTCCGGAACTAAATGTTTCACGGATCCAAAAGCATTTTTTTTTAAAGCAGCCTCACGTGATTAAACATCTATAAACTAATTAATTGTTGTTCTCAATGACCTTTGACCCCCTTAAGACATACGAATAAAACATTAACCAATTATTTTATCAGTCAGATCAATTTAAAAAGTGCCAAATGTTCAGTAAAATATGCGCACTCAAAGAGGAGTAATTTGGGACTCGCTGTGAATTTCTATAGTAATTCCTTATCTAAGAGAAAGTCATAGAGAAGGAAAAAGAGAGAGAGAGAAAGAGTGAGAGGGGGAGGAAGAGAGAGAGAGAGAGAAAGAGTGAGAGGGGGAGGAAGAGAGAGAGAGAGAGAAAGAGTGAGAGGGGGAGGGAGAGAGAGAGAGAGAGAAAGAGTGAGAGGGGGAGGGAGAGAGAGAGAGAGAGAAAGAGAGAGAGGGGGAGGGAGTGAAGAGAGAGAGAGAGAGAAAGAGTGAGAGGGGGAGGAAGAGAGAGAGAGAGAGAAAGAGTGAGAGGGGGAGGAAGAGAGAGAGAGAGAGAAAGAGTGAGAGGGGGAGGAAGAGAGAGAGAGAGAGAGAGAATGGGAGAGAATGGGAGAAAGGGGAGAGAAGGAGAGTGGAGAGAGAGAGGTCGTTGATATTGGGCACTGGACAAATTGGTTTCACGACTTCAAACCCATTAGACTTAAGATGAATGATGTTATACAAAAATTAAGTGTAATTTAACAACGAGGTAGTATTATTGTGCCAACCTAGGGGTCGTCCATATAGTACGTACGCAATGGAGGGGGGTGGTGGTGTTGAATATGGAGATTGTGCATCCACGTGCGTATGGGCGGGGGGGGGGGGGGTCTCGGCAAGAAGTACGTACATTTATTTTAAAATTCTATAGTAAACATCATGACTCTCTTACAGTCAAAAGAGAACATATTTCTGTCTCGAATGCTGTAAAGATATCACGCTATGCTTTGTAGGAATTGTCGTCATAATGTTGCCTCGTGTTTTCACAAATGAGCTGGCTCGATATCGCTCAGATAGTACTCAGTTATAGAGGTATTACAGTAATATTTAGCCAACCGTGTGTTTAATCTGCGTTTGACTTATTTCCCCCCCCCCCACCAAAAAAAACAAAACAACAAAATACAACGTCTACGACAGTTGTTATCAAAACATTATTTTCCCGGTCCTCTTGCCAGCTTTAGGTGTTCATCAAGGGCCCCGTGTTAAAACTCTAGCGCGTACAATTCTAAATTGAGAATAAGTGAACACAAATTAAATTTTAAAAAAGCGTTTGCATAAAAATAGTGTAGGTCATTAAGCACTAGTGTTTGCACCAAGATCGCTGGAAGTCACATCATTAAGCACTAGTGTTTGCACCAAGATCGCTGGAAGTCACATCATTAAGCACTAGTGTTTGCACCAAGATCGCTGGAAGTCACATCATTAAGCACTAGTGTTTGCACCAAGACCGCTGGAAGTCACATCATTAAGCACTAGTGTTTGCACCAAGATCGCTGGAAGTCACATCATTAAGCACTAGTGTTTGCACCAAGACCGCTGGAAGTCACATCATTAAGCACTAGTGTTTGCACCAAGATCGCTGGAAGTCACATCATTAAGCACTAGTGTTTGCACCAAGACCGCTGGAAGTCACATCATTAAGCACTAGTGTTTGCACCAAGATCGCTGGAAGTCACATCATTAAGCACTAGTGTTTGCACCAAGACCGCTGGAAGTCACATCATTAAGCACTAGTGTTTGCACCAAGACCGCTGGAAGTCACATCATTAAGCACTAGTGTTTGCACCAAGACCGCTGGAAGTCACATCATTAAGCACTAGTGTTTGCGCCAAGACCGCTGGAAGTCACATTGGATTAAACGTGTATCTACAATTATGAGAAATGTGTGATATTCGCGGCACCGCTGTGAGGACGCCAAAGCAACCTAGGACAGGGCCAAGCCGAGGAAAAGTGGCACATGTGGCGAAGCCATTGCAACTTCATAGTAAAAACGCACCCCCCCCCCCGGGCGGACAAGTAAAAAGACAATTTTGGCGCCCCTTGTCTTTCTGAAGTATATGGACTTAAATATTTTGATTCACTATTAAGGTCCTGTCTAAAGACGACGTTGGCGCCTAATATGTTGGCGCCCGGTGCCACTGCCCTCCTTTCCCCATTCTATTCGCTTGGCACGAGGGCAACGTGGCACTCAGGGTGACGCCGTGTGTGGCAGTGGAGTGAGGCAGTGGGTTTGGGGCAGTGGAGTGGGGCAGTGGAGTGGGGCGGTAAGGTGGGGTGGTGGAGTGGGGCGTTAGAAAGCTTCTTGTACATACGCATTGTTGGAGGGGGTGTCCAAAAAAAAAGAACGCGTGCAACACGGGGAGGGGGTGCACATTGGACTTAGTTTTGGGGAAATACGTTAATGGACGCGACCTCCCCCCCCCCCCCATATTGATTCTAACAGAGTTTTATATTGATTCGTATGCAACCCGGTATCCCAAAGCTCGCAACTGCACAAGTTTTCCACGCCCCTGACCTATTTTAATATGCATTAGTGTACATAGCATTCTAATCTGTTGTTTTATCCACAGATGGGCATGTTTTTAATCTCTGGAACTATCAGCATTGTTTATGGAGTTCTCAAGTTAAATTTTGATATAGAAAATTTATCTACAATTGAAAAGGAGAATTTGGCACTTGTATCAAGTGAGCTTTCTTTAAACTTATCTTAAGGAAATACTAAAGATTATTATGACCATAGTGACATAATGACCATAATGATCATAAAGACCATAATGACTATGCTACCTACAGCTACATCATTATTCACAATCATCATACTTGTCACAACTTCGTAATATTCAACAACAAAAAAATAATTACAAAACGAACACATTTACTACAATTTTCCCATTGGACATAATCACCAAAAAACCCATAAGTAATTCATTCTTCGTTAGCACCCCATTTTAATATCACCACAAAAACATAAGCACTTCATTCTTCGTTAGCACCCCATTTTAATATCACCACAAAACCATTAGCACTTGATTCTTCGTTAGCACCCCATTTCACAATCACCACAAAACCATTAGCACTTCATTCTTCGTTAGCACCCCATTTCACAATCACCACAAAACCATTAGCACTTCATTCTTCGTTTAGCAACCCATTTTAATATCACCACAAAACCATTAGCACATCATTCTTCGTTAGCACCCCAGTTCACAATCACCAGAATGCCCATGCGTTCACGAATAACGGTGTTCGCAAGCGTGTATGGTCACGTGACACAGAATATTTTATTGCAAATATTCACTCAACGCAATGTTTGTTAACTTTGACCCCCCCCCCCCCCTTTCCTGGTTGAATTCCGTTAGTGGTCAAATGGTCACGTGACACAGAAAATTTTATTGCAAATATTCACTCAACGCAATGTTTGTTAACTTTGACCCCCCCCCCCCCCTATTGCTGGTTGAATTCCGTTAGTGGTCAAATGTAATCCGTCTCAATGTCCATTTGTCCAATCCAAGTATAGTCTGTGCCGGTGTGGCCCTCATAGTGGCCATCTCGGGGTCCATCGTCCACATCTTCATGGCCATCAGGAATTACAGGTCAGTGGCCATATTAAACCTTCTATGTGTAGCTACACGCTTTCTGAAGTTACAGAACATATCTGACCTATCTACTTATCTAACTTAACTTCTTTTATACCTTATCTACTTATCTAAATATCAACTTATCTAAATATCTACTTATCAAAATATCTAATTATCTAATTATCTACTTATCTAACTTAACCCAATATCCTACTTTCAAATTCTTTAGGGAAAAAAAATAGTTTAATTTTATTTCTGAAATACACTATTTTAATAAATTTACGAATTAGCCGTAAAAAAATTAAACACAGCTTATTGTCGTGTTTCCAAGAGCTGTTGTTTAAATCCCCAGTGAAATAATGGTTGCAGATATATTAGTATAAGATTGAATGAGAGAAATATTTATTTTATTGCTTGAAATTTCAAAAAATAAAGTAAGATACAACCATGTTTAAAACTTCTACATTTTGAATTTATACCAACACCCCAGATATCACATGTTGAGGATATACCAAGGTGACAAAGAATTTGCCGTACAGTTTGAGGACAGCTCACAATATATTTTAGTAGGTCACTTAGGTCGATGTTTTACCTGAGAGAGTGATCACCTAAAGATCACTCTCAAATATGCAATCTTACACCATAGTATATTCTCAATAGCCTATTCACTATAGCCTATTCACTATAGCCTATTCACTATAGCCTATTCACTATAGCCTATTCACGTAAGCCTATTCACGTAAGCCTATTCACGTAAGCCTATTCACGTAAGCCTATTCACGTTAGCCTATTCACGTAAGCATATTCCCTATAGCTTATTTACTTTAGCATATTCTCTATAGCCTATTTACTTTAGCCTATTCACTTTAGCCCAATCACTTTAGCCTAATAACTTTAGCCTATTCACTACAACCTATTCACGTATGTCAATTCACCTTAGCTAATCACTTTAGCCTATCACTTTAGCCTATTCACTATAGCCTATTCACCTTAGTCTATTCACTTTAGCATAATCACTTTAGCCTATTCACTTTAGGCTAATCACTTTAGCCTATTCACGTAAGCCTATTCCCTATAGCTTATTTACTTTAGCCTAATCTCTTTAGCCTATTTACTTTAGCCTATTCACTTTAGCCTAATCACTTTCGCCTATTAACAATATCCTATATCCTTAGTCATTCACTTTAGCCCAATCACTTTAGCCTAATAAGTTTAACCTAATCACTTTAGCCTATTCACTATAGCCTATTCACCTTAGTCTATTCATTTTTGCCTTGTCCCTTTAGCCTAATCACTTTAGCCTAATCACTTTAGCCTAGTCACTTTAGCCAAATCACTTTAGCCTAATCACTTAAGCCTATTCACTCTAGCCTATTCTCTCTAGCCTATTCACTCTAGCCTATTCACTTTGATGTAATCGCTTTAACCTTGTCACTTTAGCCTTTTTACTTTAGCCTTATCACTTTAGCCTATACACTTAGCCAAATCACTTTGGCCTAGTCACTTTCGCCAAATCACTTTAGCCTAACCACTTTAGCCTAATCACTTTAGCCTAATCACTTTAGCCTAATCATTTAAGCCTATTCACTCTAGCCTTTTCACTCTAGCCTATTCACTCTAGCCTATTCACTCTAACCTATTCACTCTAGCCTATTCACTCTAGTTTATTCACTCAAGCCTATTCACTCTAGCCTATTCACTTTGATCTAATTGCTTTAGTCAAATCACTTTAGCCTATACACTTAGCCAAATCACTTAAGCCTCTACACTTTAGCCTAATCTCCGCATCTAGCCTTTCAGCCAATGAATATGATCTAGCTGTGTTGTATCCACAGACCAGTAGCATGCTGTACCCTGGCTACCAAGTGGGTTTCATGCTCTGGGGTAAGGACCTCATTTGATTTTTATTTGATCCAATATTGAACAAACGAAACTCATTTCTCGATAGCAGTTGAATCCACTCTATGGATAATGCACTCTTACAATAGTTCCTCGATAGCAGTTGAATCCACTCTATGGATAATGCACTCTTACAATAGTTCCTCGATAGCAGTTGAATCCACTCTATGGATAATGCACTCTTACAATAGTTCTTAATAAAGCTTAAGTATTAAATAATCAGTCTAAAGGTAGTAATCGGACGGACAGATACTATTAGTAGTAATAAGGCACTGGGAGATAATTCAAAGACCTCTCTCGTCCCATCAATGAATTCATGTCTTCCCAAAGGCTGTGTTGTCTTGTCCCATCAATGAATTCATGTCTTCCCACAGGCTGTGTTGTCTTGTCCCATCAATAATTCATGTCTTCCCACAGGCTGTGTTCTCTTGTCCCATCAATGAGTTCATGTCTTCCCACAGGCTGTGTTGTCTTGTCCCATCAATGAGTTCATGTCTTCCCACAGGCTGTGTTGTCTTGTCCCATCAATGAGTTCATGTCTTCCCTCAGGCTGTGTTGTCTTGTCCCATCAATAATTCATGTCTTCCCACAGGCTGTGTTCTCTTGTCCCATCAATGAGTTCATGTCTTCCCACAGGCTGTGTTCTCTTGTCCCATCAATGAGTTCATGTCTTCCCACAGGCTGTGTTCTCTTGTCCTATCAATCAATTCATGTCTTCCCACAGGCTGTGTTCTCTTGTCCCATCAATGAATTCATGTCTTCCCACAGGTTGTGTTCTCTTGTCCCATCAATGAGTTCATGTCTTCCCACATGCTGTGTTGTCTTGTCCCATCAATGAATTTATTTATTTATTTAATTAGGAATTTTTATATAGCGCTTACCTTAAAGCTCTAAGCGCTTTACAATTATTAAAAACATGTAAACTAACTAAAATAAAAATGAGACATTAGGATAGTAACTACTATACTATAGAAACAATTAAAATGGCTATAAAACGAGGACACTTTGGCACGTTTTGGCCTATATTACAGGATTAACCAGAGACAGAAAATTAGGCCGGGCAAGGAGGGTGCATCACAGGTCATAGGCGGACCTAAACAGATGGGTTTTAAGGGACTTTTTAAAAGTGGACGAGTTTTCACAATGACGGATATGGAAGGGGAGCTGGTTCCAGAACGTGTTGTCTTGTCCCATCAATGGATTCATGTCTTCCCAAAGGCTGTGTTCTCTTGTCCCATCAATGAATTCATGTCTTCCCACAGGTTGTGTTCTGAGTTTCGTATTTGTGCTACTGACTTCACTTTGTATAGCGGAGCCTATATATTGGTTAACAGAGTTAGGACTTTTGGGAGATTTGGCTGTACAACTGGCTCAGACACTAAGGTATTTATTTGCTGTACAATTGTCTCAAACACTAAGGTTATTGGCTGTATAACTGGCTTAGACAACAAGGTACTTATGGCTGTAAAGCTGGCCCAGACACTAATTTATTTAGGATTTTATCTGTCTTAGAGACTAAGGTATATATATGGCCATACCACTGCCTCAGACAAAAGGTATTTATGGTTGATTATCTGGCTAAACCATTAAAGTACTGACAAAGATCCGGAGTACCTTTACTTGCAGTGCTGCATTATTGCCCCAATGACTCGAATGATGAAAGCCTTACTTCTGATCAAATAAAAGTCTGCCTGTTGATTAGTTGTTGATAAATGTTTTTATAGTCTAGCATCGCATCCATGGAGTATTCTGCAGTTATTTTAATATTTAACTTTTGTATTTAGAAATAACAATTTTGAAGCACTTCTTTTTTTCTTCAGTTTCCCGGCCACCATGTTGTTATTGTTTTATTTGCAAATGTTTATGTGTAAGCGAGTTTTGCTTCAAAAGAGAATCAACCAATCAGATGAGCACCCGCCACTAAACGTTGATAACAGGTCAGTTTGATCATCCTAACACAAACTTGTTTATAAACATTCGCCCTTGTTTCTTAGTTCTTAATTATCAAACACAAAAAGGAAAAGGGTGGCGGAAAGGGCGATCCACCCCCGGGCGGCAATTTTTTCTTTAGATGGAGTGACGGAAATTTCGACCAGCTGCAAAGTTTTCTCCGTGGAAGGGGCGGAAAAATCATGGCCATCCTTGGGTGTGACTTACCTTAGCTACGCCCCTGAGCACAAAGATTTTGTTACATATAGTTATCAAAATTGTGAAAGAATTCTATCTTCATAGACTTGAGACGTGACCAAAATAGTTGACAAAATATGAAACGTGTGCAAGTTGTATATAGAGATATGTAGGGTGTCATAAGTGGTGAGATGTAGTTTTTCATAAGTGGTGAGATGTAGTGTGTCATAAGTGTGAGATGTAGTGTGTCAAAATTGGTGAGACAAGGTAAGGTCGGTCATGAACGCTTCATAAAAGTTTTTATGAAATGAACGTCTTTCCTGTGCACGGTGCGTAAGACAGCTTTGCTCATTACAAGAGGACATGTGTTGGGTGTTATGTGTAAGACAGCTTGGCTCATTACAAGAGAACATTGTGTTGAGTGTTCATTTACTTGACGTCTGAATGTTGTGAAACGTAATGGTATTGAATATATTTTTTGAGACCAGGATGGACACACTTTTTCCAAAATAGCCAGAGTCATGGCGATTAAAAAGTAAAATTCCCCAAACTATACATAAATGATAAAACACTACTGTTAAATCAATTAACAGTGATACCTTCGATGGCGGCGTCTCAGCTTCTTCTGAAATGCAGCATTTTAAATGAAATAAAAACCAACAACTTTACTCACCCAATTAAACCAAATGTTGATGTTATCTTGTATAAGACTGACATTTGAATACTAGCAATAGAGATCATTTAAAAAGAATGCATCACATGTTTTGGATTGAATCTAGTCATCCCAGCTAACACTTATCTCACCTCACAGAAGCCAGGTCACTTAATCAGAGCCAAACGCTCAATAAACACTGACGTCACCTCTGACAACTCCATGAGCAGTTACATCCGGAGCAATGATAAATGCTTCACTGTGTGACCTCGGTGTAACACAGTTCAATATAAACAATCATTCTTCCCACGAACAATAATTGCTTGGAACCAACTGGACAATGCGGCCGTGGACTCGACATCAGTCGAGAGTTTCAAGGCTGCCCTGGCACCACCTGCTAGGAGCCGTTAGGATAGCCGCACCGTTTCCCAAACCGTTGAACATCTGCCAGGACTTGGTTGCAGCAACGTAGTCTATCAGAATCAGAATCAGAAACTGCATCAAGAGGAGAGTGTACTAGAGATTTATCAAAAGACTGTATCTTGAGATTGTACATACACATTGTATTTTGAGATTGCATCTTGAGATTGTATCTAGAGATTGTATCTTGAGATGGTACCTCTAGATTGTATCTAGAGATTGTACATATAGATTGTATCTAGAGATTGTATCTGGAGATTGTATCTAGGGATTGTATCTTGAGATTGTATCTAGGAATTGTACCGCGAGATTGTTTCTTGATATTTTCTGCAGAGATTGTATCTCGAATTTGCAAAGAATGTCTGAATCTATAGATTTCATCTATAGATTATATGTAGAGACTGTGTCTAAAGATTTCTTCTATAGATTATACGTAGAGACTGTGTCTAAAGATTTCTTCTATAGATTATACGTAGAGACTGTGTCTAAAGATTTTATCTAGACATTGTATCTTAGATATTGCAAAGAGTGACTGAATCTATATATTGTATATAGATATTTTATCTAGAGAATGTATCTAGAGATTTTATTTAGAAAATGACTTTATTACAGGAAACTATATGAAATTATCAACTACTTGTCAATGTTTACGAACATGGCAGTCGGAGTCTTCACGTGTTTACTCCGTATCATTGTCAGTGCATTCTTTGGTGTCTTCTCCGTTGGAAGACTGGATAAAAGTGTCTTTACCAGAGATATGGAAACTTTTGATAGAGGTAAGTCAACATATGGGGATGTCGACCGGGGTAAGCTTGTCTATGCTTCTGATAACTCTCACAGGTTACAAAGCCTACTTGTCTATGCTTCTGATAACTCTCCCAGGTTACAAAGCCTACTTTTCTATGCTTCTGATAACTCTCCCAGGTTACAAAGCCTACTTGTCTATGCTTCTGATGACTCTCCCAGGTTATAAAGCCTACTTGTCTATCCTTCTGATAACTTCCCCAGGTTACAAAGCCTACTTTTCTATCCTTCTGATAACTCCCCCAGGTTAGAAAGCCTACTTGTCTATGATTCTGATAACTCCACCAGGTTACAAAGCCTACTATTCTATCCTTCTGCAAACTCCCCCAGGTTACAAAACCTTACTTTTTGAGGCCTTCTGCTAACTCCCCCAGGTTACAAATCCTACTTTTCTATCCTTCTGATAACTCCCCCAGGTTACAAAGCCTACTTGTCCATGCTTCTGGTTGACAACGCCCACAACAACCCCAGCATGCGAGTGTTTGCTCATCTGTTGTGGACCAAAGTGCTAGCGTCTCGCTTCAAACAGGGGAGTAGCTCTGGTAGCTTTAGTGACACGACTCCACTGACTCCCCCAATAAAAATACGTCAAAGGTAAGCTACCCTTATAGTCTTCATCAAATAATTTATTTAAAGTTGCTCCCCTTTATGAAACTGAAAATACTGTACTCGTACCTCTAATTGATGATGTCAGACGTATTCGATTCCACGAATCTTACACGGCTCAACCTCTATTACAATCTTCTATGATGGTGTGTTAAGAAAACAAAAAAAAAAACTTGTCTATTTTTATTTTTTTTACATTTAGAACATTTGGAACAAATAGTAGCGAAACTCCCAGCTCGGCAGAGTCCGGAAATCCCTGGACATTTTGTGATGGCCCCGGTAAGTAAACAGTGGTTTGGTTCTGTCCCGACCCTTGCAAACGATTCGCACGATGCATTCCAGTGGCATCAAGCAAAATTAGTTTTGGATCTCGGTTTGGTGTTCAGTTCATTCAGTGGTGCTCCATGCTTGGTATCATGTTGACTGGAAACCAACTAGTTATTAAATGCAAAGCTACAACTTAGATAACTGACTCTATTAAAAACTTTTATGTTTTATGATTTTGCCATCTATTCGAAGTAAACAAGTACCAACTATTTCAAGGTAGCCTTAATGTTGAATTAAACATATTCCAATATTTCAAGGTAGCCTTAATGTTGAATAAAACACATTCCAATATTTCAAGGTAGCCTTAATGTTGAATTAAACATATTTCAGTGTAGCCTTAATGTTGTATTAAACATATTCCAATATTTCAAGCTAGCCTCAATATTAAATTAAACACATTCCAATCATTTCAAGGTAGCCTTAATGTGTAAGTCAAAGGTTTTCCATTGTTTTAGTTCACATCCAAGTGTCCAATCAGAGCCTTACTCGATGGTTCCTGGCCTTCACACTCATCCACAATCCGCAACTCACCAAGCTAAGGAAACATGCCCTTAAGAAGGACGTGTCCAGCTCTCCTACTCCGGATGACCCTGGTTCTGACAAGTCAGACGCCAGATTAAATGAACACACGTCTTTAGAGGAAACACATGAGAAACAAAACGAATTAGGGAAGCAAGATATTTTTGATGGCGAAACCATCAGTAGAATTGTGTAGGTTCGATTTAAGTAATGTCAGAGACACTGTTGATAGGATCCTAGTGAGAGATGGCAGAGATCTTTTTGACTTGATTCTATTGACAGATGTCAGAGATACTGTGGATATAATCCTTTTGACAGATCTCAGAAAAAATTGTTGATATGATCCTATAATTGACTGATGTCAGGGTTCGTAAAACCAGGTCAGGAGATAACATTTGAATTTCTTATACATGTATACTTCTGTTCTTCATTGTCACTGTCACGGGTCATTGCGCGAAGGTATGGGTGTATAATAGTGTTACTGTAAGGGGAAAAGGGGTATGGAGATATCATGGGGTGTGAAGGTGTAGACGCAATCCTGGTGCTTTGTTTGCTAGGGTTAAACTCAGTTCTGGAATATATGATGTCAACGTTCTAACTCAGTGCTGTAATATGTGACATCAATGTTCTAACCCAGTACTGGAATATGTGACGTCAATGTTCTAACTTAGTTCTGGGATATATGATGTTAATGTTCTAACTTACTACTAGAACATGTGACGTCAATGTTCTAACCCAGTACTGGAATGTGTGACGTCAATGTTCTAACTCAGTGCTGGTAAATTTGATGTACTTTTTGTAACTCAGTATTGGTATATGTGAATGTGATGTCATTGTTCTAACTCAATACTGGAATATGTGATGTTAGTAAGAATTGTGTTGAAAATTGCCACGGATAAGTTGTCCTCAGCCATTATGTATGCGGTGTTACGGCATTTATCTTATAATTTGTGAGTGTTGATGAGTTGATGCTTGGATATTATGCTTACAGTCGATCGAGTTTTCTTGCAGTCAGATGACATAGCTGCCCAGTTTTTTAATGAAATTTTGACATTTTAAAATCTAACTATAAATTTTTCTGTGTTGCTTCACAAAAAAATTCTAAATAAAATTGTCTATATTTTACTTTTGTTGTCTGACTTTAACATTGCTTAAGAAATAAATCTTCAGAGCAATGTTATATAGAAATAAATCTTCAGAGCAATGTTATACAGAAATAAATCTTCAGAGCAATGTTATATAGAAATAAATCTTCAGAGCAATGCTATATAGAAATAAATCTTCAGAATTATTCTTAAATACTGTTCTGGAAATATATTGTAATTAATTTATTGATTTTTAAAAAAAAATTACAATAGAATCGTACAACAAGATTAACAAATATTGATTGACGGCTACGAAATAACGTATATTGATTGATAGTTACAAAGAAATAATGAATGTTGATTGATAGTTACGAAATAACTTATATTGATTTATAGTTAGGAAATATCCTATATTCATTGATAGTTACGAAATATCCTATAGTCATTTATAATTACGAAATAACGTGTGTTGATTGTTAGTTACAAAATTACGTATATTCATTGATATTTAGGAAATAATACATAACGTGAATATCCTTTTACGGATGAGGCCTGCACAATAAGAAAGGTTTTACCAGAAGGACCTCACCATTGTACAACAACACATGTGTACACATGCTATTCAAAAAGTTGAGAGTACGGCACACTCTGGAGAGGCTTGTCAACGGGTTAAAAGAAGAAAAATGATATATTTCAAGAACAAACGATATGGTGTCAAATACTTTCAAAAGATCTTCATTTATTCAAACGTATTTTAATTGTCATAGACATTAGATCGTTTATACACATAGCTAGAAATGCATCATGTAAACACAAAGATGGAAATAAATCCTGTATACACAAGATATAAATACATCATTATTACACAAAGCTAGAAATACATCGTTATGCTCAAAGATAGAAATACATTGTTTATACACAAAGATAAAAATGCAATATATTGTTTTAAAAATAATAGTAAGGAAAGCAGATCATGGAATGCAAAAAAAATATATTTTTATAGCAATATATCATTGTTTTTTTCAATCGCCTTCTTTCATTTGATCATTTCACATAAACATTCACCTAAACATTCACCTAAACTTTTGCCTAAACAATCAAGTCAGTGAATCTAGCAGAATCGATACAAACAGTCAAGCCATATTTCAAGTCAGTCTTCCTATACATTCACGAATACAAAGTATCGATTACAGCACTCAAACACGATTACACCGATTACGATTTTAGCATTAACTTGCATGTGTTGTTTTAAACGTAAAAATGTTTTGATTATCTTTGCTGAGATGAGAGAAGACGTTTATGGCTCAGGCCGTTTTGCAAACTAACGATCCTAGAAATGGTCGGTCAGTAAGATTGGTTCAAAACTTTCCTTGGGTCGACCCACCGGCCTAAACGGGTTGACCTGGAGGAACATCAAATTCTGCTCTGCTTGACGTGTATCTTCTAAACGTGTATCTTCTAAACTTGAACCTTCTACATTTGTATCTTCTAAACTTGTATCTTCTAGATTTGTATCTTCTTAACTTGCACCTTCTAGATTTGTATCTTCTAGATTTGTCTTTAGTTAAACTTTCTCGGCTGGATTATGCTGACGGGCTTCATGGGTCAGTTGGTCAACATGGTTGCCGGTGTGTCCATTGCCATCATGGCCAATGAACGCACCCGTCAACGTTTTATCATCTCCCACCTTGATGTCATCTAACAGAAACAAAAGGAAAGTTACCTGGTTGGACGCTGTTCAGTATAATTAATACATTTAATGTAAAGTAGGCGAAATATTCTCTGAGACATTTCAAATAATTTCATGGAAGTCCCTATCAGGCCATGTGTATTCCTTAAGTGAAATCAGTATCAGCTTATGTGTGTCCCTTAAGGTAAGGTTCTTTTCCTGATGTTAACCAGCCCGATCTTGAGTTACCTACCCTGATGTTAACCAGCCCGATCTTGAGCTACCTACCCTGATGTTAACCAGCCCGATCTTGAGTTACCTACCATGATGTTAACCAGCCATATCTTGATTTACCTACCCTGAAGTTAACAAGTCCGATCTTGAGTTACCTATCCTAATGTTAACCAGCCCGATCATGAGTTACCTACCCTCATGTTACAAGCCTAATCTTGAGTTACCTACCCTGTTGTTAACAAGCCCGATCTTGAGTTACATACCCTGATGTTAACAAAGCCCACATTGAGGTACCTACTCTAATGTTGACAAGCCCTCATCTTCAGTTACCTACCTTGGTGATCACAAGCCCTCATCTTCAGTTACCTACCTTGGTGATCACAAGCCCCCATCCTCAGTTACCTACCCTGGTGATCACAAGCCCTCATCTTCAGTTACCTACCTTGGTGATCACAAGCCCTCATCTTCAGTTACCTACCTTGGTGATCACAAGCCCTCATCTTCAGTTACCTACCTTGGTGATCACAAGCCCTCATCTTCAGTTACCTACCTTGGTGATCACAAGCCCCCATCCTCAGTTACCTACCCTGGTGATCACAAGCCCTCATCTTCAGTTACCTACCTTGGTGATCCCAAGCCCCCACCCTCAGTTCCCGATCCTGGTGATCACAAGCCCCCATCCTCAGTTCCCTATCCTGGTGATCACAAGCCCCCATCCTCAGTTACCTACCTTGTGATCACAAGCTCCTCAGTGACCTACCTTGGTGATCACAAGCCGCCATCCTCAGTTACCTACCTTGTGACCACAAGCCCCATCCTCAGTTACCTACCTTGTGATCACAAGCCCCATCCTCAGTGACCTACCTTGGTGATCACAAGCCCCCATCCTCAGTTACCTACCTTGGTGATCACACGCCCAGTCTTGTAGTTTTGCCTTGGCCAAACACATGAAGGCCACGCCCCCTGCCAAGCTCAGTGCTGCCACCACATAAAACATTGTCTGCCATTGTTCACGATTACCCTGTCAAAAAATTAAAATTGTTTCTTTAAAGCTAAGTCTAAGCTTTAACTAGGTGGATTTAAACATTGCTCTATCAGATGCGACACATCTTGTTGGGAGTAACCTTGGTATATGTCACTTAAGACGGAAGCAATTGTCTATGTTACATATTGCTGCCTAAATAAAGCTGTAAATCTGTGAAAACTTGGACAGAATGCTCATAAGATATGTCTTTATTCATACCGTTGTTTACTGTCTGTGTTGTTTTTCTGTCTGTGTTGTTTTTCTGTCTGTGTTGTTTTACTGTTAATTGAAATAAATGTTTGGAAACTAATTATATCAATAATTAAGAAAGGAAAATAGAGCTCTGATTTCAAGGTCGTGACTCCAATTTCAAGGTCATGACCTTAATCTGGCCACAATGTTTTTGTTACAGGTAAGATAATCGACTTAACAGAAAATACCAAGCCAACATGTTAACATCTTTTCAAGTCATGGGATGTCAGACAATGGTCAAGACAGATGTAAGCCCTAGTCGTACGACTGACCAATAAGCTATTTACCTCATAAACTACTGCTGAAGTGACCAGTGGGGCCGTCATTGACATCGCCACAGCTACCGTGTTGGCCAGCGCCAGTATAAAACCCGAGTATCTGTGCAAGAGAGGGTTAGGTTTGAAGATAAAACATTGATAAAATGTAAACATTTTACAACCGCTAGAGACTGTAAAAGTAGAAAAATCTTAAGTGGTCAGATACTGATGCCGTAGATACTAAAACACCAGGGATTAGTTTTACAGTACTTAAGCAAAGATATCACGTCAGTTTGAATGACAGCCTGGGGGCTACTGACCTTGGCGCTATATCTAAGGCATTGATCCTAAACGAAGCTGTTGATATGTTCTGGGCAGCCACGGCCATTACGAGTAACACAACGGCCAAGTCTCTGGAGCTGTGGTCCAGGAAACCTATGATGACTGTACAGCAGGCACAACCTACTGCGCCTTTTGTGTTAGCGAAATAGTGAAATTTAATCAGCTGAGTAAATATACTTGAAACACCAAATCTTGTTAATTTTGATCAAAATTCTAGAAAAATCTTCTGAATAAGGTTTGTCATTTAATGGCGGAAATCTACTAACGGAACATCCGGGCATCCGGTTTGGCGAAATTCATTAAATGGCGGAATAAAGCATCTGGGTATTAAGTTGTGACTTCTACGTTAGTACGAGTCAGCGTATTGGCTCTTAATCTAGACGAAAACTTGTTTAAAATAAAATTTACGAAAGATTTAAAAAGCAAATTGTTACCGCAATATATTCGCTGAAATACATTGGTAACAGCCATGGGTTATGAAAACATTATCAAAAAATAGTAACATTACGTAATGCGATGTGACTTTATCCGGTCTGAGAAATGACAAATACCTAATGAGTCGAATCTTAGACAAAAAATTTGAATAATGTAAATCTCATTTGTTCTCTTGTAACTATTGAAATTATGGAAGATAAAACGTAAAATCTTACAGGAAAATGAAAGTGATGAAGTTCGAGCTAGCTGAAAACTTAAAACTCCGTTAAAAATGAAAGTAGTTAATACTTGCCGATCATTTGAAATATTTTCCTATTTCTAGAAACAGACAAACTTGTTCTCAGCAGTCTGTCTGCCAGGTAGCCACATATAAGACCTGTTGCAAATTTACCTACAAAAGGTAGCGACGACAGCATGGCGTTCTGAGGGCAAAGATGTTTTATAACCTGCATTACTTTGTTAACACACATTGTTATTGTTATTAATTTTGTGTGTTTTTGTGTGAAATGGTAATAGAATAATAACTCATGACGATCACACAAGATAACTGGCTATAACGCCACAATAACTGGCAATTACGTCACAATAACTGGCAATGGCGTCACAAAAACTGGCAATTACGTCACAATTACTGGCAAATACGTCACATTAACTGGCAAATACGTCACAATAACTGGCAATTGCGTCAAAATAATGTGTAACTACGTCAAAATAACTTGCAAGTACGTCACAGATTTATAGCTGAACTTAATAAGATGTAAATAAGATTTACAACTGAGCTAACCAAGATGTTAAGGAGGTGTACCTGTGAAATGTTGTATCGCAACACATCCTGCATGTACATGGGCAGGTAGCACAAGACCCAGGAGTAGACCCACGTGAAGGTGGAGGTGGCTATCACAATGGCCCACACGGCAGGGGAGGCGAGCATTTTTAGCCAAGGTGGGTGAACCTGAGCTTGAGATCAAACACAATTGGTAGGAGTTATCTCTGTTAAAGCAATCGCTGTTAAAGTTATCGCTGTTAAGTTATCGCTATTAAAGTTATAGTTGATAAAAGTATCGCTGTCTAAGTTAGAGATGTTAAAGTTATTGCTGTTAAAGTCATAGCTGTTAAAGTTATTGTTGTTAAAGTCATAGATGTTAAAGTTATTGCTGTTAAAGTCATAGATGTTAAAGTTATTGTTGTTAAAGTCATAGCTATTAAAGTTATCGTAAGGATAGCGCTGTTAAAGTCATAGCTGTTAAAATGATCTATATAGTTGTTAAAGTTATCGCTGTAATTTTAACAGCTATAAGTTTAACAGCGATATCTTAAACAGCAATAACTTTAACAGCTAAGACTTTAACGGCGATAACTTTAAAAGCCATAACTAAGGCTGTTATATTGATATGTTAAGGCTGTTATTTGACATGTTAAGGCTGTTATATTGATATGTTAAGGCTGTTATTTTGATATGTTAAGGCTGTTATTTGACATGTTAAGGCTGTTATTTTGATATGTTAAGGCTGTTATATTGATATGTTAAGTCTGTTACATTGATATGTTAAGGCTGTTATTTGACATGTTCAGGCTGTTATATTGATATGTTAAGGCTGTTATTTGACATGTTAAGGCTGTTATTTTGATATGTTAAGGCTGTTATATTGATATGTTAAGGCTGTTATATTGATATGTTAAGGCTGTTATTTTAATATGTTAAGGTTGTTATTTTGATACGTTAAGGTTGTTATTTTGATACGTTAAGGCTGTTATATTGATATGTTAGGGCTGTTATATTGATATGTTAAGGCTGTTATATTGATATGTAAAGGCTGTTATATTGATATGTTAAGGCTGTTATATTGATATGTTAAGGCTATTATATTGATATGTTAAGGCTATTATAATAATATGTTCAGGCTGTTATTTTGATATGTTAAGGCTGTTATTTTGATATGTTAGGGCTGTTATATTGATATGTTAAGTCTGTTATATTGATATGTTAAGGCTGTTATATTGATATGTTAAGGCTGTTATATTGATATGTTAAGGCTATTGTATTGATTGTTAAGGCTGTTATTTTGATGTGTTAAGGATGTTATTTTGATATGTTAAGGCTGTTATATTGATATGTTAAGGCTGTTATATTGATATGTTTGGGCTGTTATATTGATTTGTTAAGGCTGTTATTTTGATTTGTTAAGGCTGTTATTTTTGATATTTTAAGGCTGTAATATTGATATGTTAAGGCTGTTACATTTGTTATGTTACGGATGTTATATTGATATGTTAAGGCTGTTTTTTTGATATGTTAAGTCTGTTATATTGATATGTTAAGGCTGTTAGATTGATATGTTAAGGCTGTTACATTGATATTTTAAGGCTGTTATATTGATATGTTAAGTCTGTTATATTGATATTTTCAGTCTTTTATATTGATATGTTAAGTCTGTTATATTGATATGTTAAGTCTTTATATTGATATGTTAAGTCTGTTATATTGATATGTTAAGTCTGTTATATTGATATGTTAAGTCTGTTATATTGATATGTTAAGTCTGTTATATTGATATGTTAAGTCTGTTATATTGATATGTTAAGTCTGTTATATTGATATGTTAAGTCTGTTATATTGATATGTTAAGTCTGTTATATTGATATGTTAAGTCTGTTATATTGATATGTTAAGTCTGTTATATTGATATGTTAAGGCTGTTAGATTGATATGTTAAGGCTGTTACATTGATATTTTAAGGCTGTTATATTGATATGTTAAGTCTATTATATTGATATGTTAAGTCTGTTATATTGATATGTTAAGTCTGTTAGATTGATATGTTAAGTCTGTTATATTGATATGTTAAGTCTGTTATATTGATATGTTAAGTCTGTTATATTGATATGTTATGTCTGTTATATTGATATGTTAAGTCTGTTATATTGATATGTTCAGTCTGTTATATTGATATGTTAAGTCTGTTATATTGATATGTTAAGTCTGTTATATTGATGTGTTAAGTCTGTTATATTGATATGTTAAGTCTGTTATATTGATATGTTAAGTCTGTTATATTGATATGTTAAGGCTGTTAGATTGATATGTTAAGGCTGTTACATTGATATTTTAAGGCTGTTATATTGATATGTTAAGTCTATTATATTGATATGTTAAGTCTGTTATATTGATATGTTAAGTCTGTTAGATTGATATGTTAAGTCTGTTATATTGATATGTTAAGTCTGTTATATTGATATGTTAAGTATGTTATATTGATATGTTAAGTCTGTTATATTGATATGTTAAGTCTGTTATATTGATATGTTAAGTCTGTTATATTGATATGTTAAGTCTGTTATATTGATATGTTAAGTCTGTTATATTGATATGTTAAGTCTGTTATATTGATATGTTAAGTCTGTTATATTGATATGTTAAGTCTGTTATATTGATATGTTAAGTCTGTTATATTGATATGTTAAGTCTGTTATATTGATATGTTAAGTCTGTTATATTGATATGTTAAGTCTGTTATATTGATATGTTAAGTCTGTTATATTGATATGTTAAGTCTGTTATATTGATATGTTAAGTCTGTTATATTGATATGTTAAGTCTGTTATATTGATATGTTAAGTCTGTTATATTGATATGTTAAGTCTGTTATATTGATATGTTAAGTCTGTTATATTGATATGTTAAGTCTGTTATATTGATATGTTAAGTCTGTTATATTGATATGTTAAGTCTGTTATATTGATATGTTAAGTCTGTTATATTGATATGTTAAGTCTGTTATATTGATATGTTAAGTCTGTTATATTGATATGTTAAGTCTGTTATATTGATATGTTAAGTCTGTTATATTGATATGTTAAGTCTGTTATATTGATATGTTAAGTCTGTTATATTGATATGTTAAGTCTGTTATATTGATATGTTAAGTCTGTTATATTGATATGTTAAGTCTGTTATATTGATATGTTAAGTCTGTTATATTGATATGTTAAGTCTGTTATATTGATATGTTAAGTCTGTTATATTGATATGTTAAGTCTGTTATATTGATATGTTAAGTCTGTTATATTGATATGTTAAGTCTGTTATATTGATATGTTAAGTCTGTTATATTGATATGTTAAGTCTGTTATATTGATATGTTAAGTCTGTTATATTGATATGTTAAGTCTGTTATATTGATATGTTAAGTCTGTTATATTGATATGTTAAGTCTGTTATATTGATATGTTAAGTCTGTTATATTGATATGTTAAGTCTGTTATATTGATATGTTAAGTCTGTTATATTGATATGTTAAGTCTGTTATATTGATATGTTAAGTCTGTTATATTGATATGTTAAGTCTGTTATATTGATATGTTAAGTCTGTTATATTGATATGTTAAGTCTGTTATATTGATATGTTAAGTCTGTTATTTTGATATGTTAAGTCTGTTATATTGATATGTTAAGTCTGTTATATTGATATGTTCAGTCTGTTATATTGATATGTTAAGTCTGTTATATTGATATGTTAAGTATGTTATATTGATATTTTCAGTCTGTTATATTGATATGTTAAGTCTGTTATATTGATATGTTAAGTCTGTTATATTGATATGTTAAGTCTGTTAGATTGATATGTTAAGTCTGTTATATTGATATGTTAAGGCTATTATATTGATATGTTAAGGCTATTATAATAATATGTTCAGGCTGTTATTTTGATATGTTAAGGCTGTTATTTTGATATGTTAGGGCTGTTATATTGATATGTTAAGTCTGTTATATTGATATGTTAAGGCTGTTATATTGATATGTTAAGGCTGTTATATTGATATGTTAAGGCTATTGTATTGATTGTTAAGGCTGTTATTTTGATGTGTTAAGGATGTTATTTTGATATGTTAAGGCTGTTATATTGATATGTTAAGGCTGTTATATTGATATGTTTGGGCTGTTATATTGATTTGTTAAGGCTGTTATTTTGATTTGTTAAGGCTGTTATTTTTGATATTTTAAGGCTGTAATATTGATATGTTAAGGCTGTTACATTTGTTATGTTACGGATGTTATATTGATATGTTAAGGCTGTTTTTTTGATATGTTAAGTCTGTTATATTGATATGTTAAGGCTGTTAGATTGATATGTTAAGGCTGTTACATTGATATTTTAAGGCTGTTATATTGATATGTTAAGTCTGTTATATTGATATTTTCAGTCTTTTATATTGATATGTTAAGTCTGTTATATTGATATGTTAAGTCTTTATATTGATATGTTAAGTCTGTTATATTGATATGTTAAGTCTGTTATATTGATATGTTAAGTCTGTTATATTGATATGTTAAGTCTGTTATATTGATATGTTAAGTCTGTTATATTGATATGTTAAGTCTGTTATATTGATATGTTAAGTCTGTTATATTGATATGTTAAGTCTGTTATATTGATATGTTAAGTCTGTTATATTGATATGTTAAGTCTGTTATATTGATATGTTAAGGCTTTTATTTTGATTTTTTAAGGCTCTTATTTTTAAAACCTTTTTCTTGGTATTGAGGTAAGAGTGAGTCTCTTCCGAGATATATTTTAGCTCTTTGGGTGAGATCCTCGGATGCTCAGATGGACGGTTGAAGACAAGGGCAAACCACAGAATTAACCAGATGGCACCAGTGGAACCTATGAGAGAAGGGAGGATTGAGCGACTCATTAATATATGGTGTGAGCATATCTTGCCTTATTAAACATGCTGCAGCATAAGTCCACAAGTGATATCCTTTCTTACGTCATGGGGGAAATAAATAGCTTCAAAGAAATTTCCAGTTGCTTTCATCTTTTTTAAATCAATCGTTTTAAACGAGAGCAAATAAGACTTAAAATTAATAACAAATATTTGGTTACATTTAAACCTTTAAAAACAAACATTGAGAGTAAAAAAAAAAGGATTGTGTACAATTCTCACATGAATTTACCGTAAAAATAAAATACAAGCGGCCATCCATTGTCGACTGGAATCTCACACAAAAGTCCCGAGATGAGAAAGGTGAATATACCTGCCACGCTCACACCTGTGGGGGGTAAAGATCGGTTTGGTATACAGGAATGAACATCGTGTTTGTGTGTTATTTTATGATTTCATACTTTGTGATTAAACAACATGCACGGTTCTCTAGGTAACAATCTCACTAACGCTATCACATGGCGCTCATTTCACTAAATACGATTCCCGACAAAAATCAGATTCGTTATTCAGATTCTGAAACAAACACCGAAAGTGCATTTGGTGCGTAATGTTGTTTTTTTCTGTTGTACGGTTCTAAATGGTGGTGTCGTTAGATAGGGTGAAATAAATCTGCGGTATGGAAGCGGGTGGACATGAGAATAGTGATATTGTCCGGTGAAAGAAATGAGCGGTTTTCGAACCGGGGAACGGGGAAAGGGGCCCGGGGGGGGGGCGCAATAATTATAATTGCGTTACTTGTGTCCATGTTTTGTCAAGTGACTTTAAAAGGTGGGAAGTTCACGCATTGCCGTCGCCAGTGTTTGGCGGGCTGTCACTTTTGGTGTAATAAATCTGAGGTGTACAATTTGGTGGGGCATTAGAATATTAATATAGTTCAGGGGCAGTGGCGTACCAGGGGAGGGGGGTAGCACTAATTTGGGAATCTTATTAAGTGTGTTACTTGAGTGCATGTTTCGTCAAGTAACTTTAGCAGATGGGAAGTTCAGTATTGCTGACGCCATGTTTTGGGTGGGTTCTAGCTAGAGTATATGTATGTTATTGACGTAATACATAATGAAGGGACATCCTTTGCCAAAAGATTCATTAAATTAGATAAATGATTTTACTATTCATCCATTGATACATAAAATCGCATATATTTACCATATCATATCAATCGTAACTTATATATTCAACCATGACATGTATGTCTCCAATGATAAGAAACATGAGATTTCGTTAAATAGATGAGGTCAACTCACCGGCATATTCTACTGCAGCTAAATATGCTATCTCGGACTTGGGCCCCCACACAGACCACAGAGACTGGATGGCAGGATCAATCATGCCCTGGATAGTATGGATAACCAGAGGATTAAAACGATGTAACAGCTCAGAATAATTGTTATGCGTCATCGTTAAGCTAGACCTGAAGCCTGCGTTTAGTTGAGATTACGCGAGTCTTAGATTAGTGTGCGTGTGACTAAATCAGGTCTTAAGACCTTAGCCTCGGCCAAACGACTAAAATTTGGGACTTTTAACTAATGCGTCCTCCCACTTGGTCTTAGTACAATCATTGAATAGAACATCAGGATGTTTGCCATGGAATGAGGGTGAGATGAAAAGATATGTTCAAAATTTGGTTGGGAAGATACATGAAACTTGTAAATTTTCTTTTGCGTAAAAAATGTATTAGCATTGTCTGCAAGGGACGTATTGTAAAGACCAGGGTGGCACGTGGAACGTGATGTGGGGACCAGGGTGGCACGTAGGACATGATGTAGGGACCAGGGTGGCACGTAGGACATGATGTAGGGACCAGGGTGGCACGTAGGACATGATGTAGGGACCAGGGTGGCACGTAGGACATGATGTAGGGACCAGGGTGGCACGTAGGACATGTTGTAGGGACCAGGGTGGCACGTAGGACATGATGTAGGGACCAGGGTGGCACGTAGGACATGTTGTAGGGACCAGGGTGGCACGTAGGACATGTTGTAGGGACCAGGGTGGCACGTAGGACATGTTGTAGGGACCAGGGTGGCACGTGGGACGTGTTGCAGGCGCCAGGTTGTCCTAAATATACACCACCAGACTTACGTTTGTTGTGCCTGCTACAACTCTCAAAGCCACCAGCAGATATTTGTTCGCTCTGGTCAACTCAGGGGTGAACAGGTTGACCACGGCACCGACCCCTAAACAGGAGGCGACCAGCCACTTGGCGCCCACGAGCCTCTCCGTGTAGCTGGAGATCAGAGGCGTCACCATGTACCCGTAGTAATAGGATGACAAGACAACACCTTCAAAGGTGGCGTCCCAAACAAACTCTCGTCGATCTGATGAGAAAACAAAACTAGGTCAACTGGATCCATTGAAACGCTGTTGTCTTGGTTTCAGCTAGAAAAGTTCCTAAATATATCACAGATATTAATTATCTAGGTAGGCGTGTCTGTCTGTATGGCTGTAACGGTGTGTTCAAAAGGCGCGCAAAATAAAATTCGCAGAAGTTAGCGCTAATAATTTGGATTCTTATAAAATGCGTTACCTGAATGCATGTTTTGTCAAGTAACTTGAGTAGGTGGGAAATTCACACATTTTGGACCGCTAGTGTTCGGCTGGTTATTTCGAGTGTGTGTATATATATGTGTGAAGGGTTCAAGGGAAAAACCAGTGATGTCAGTTTTTTTTTTTAATTTCTATGCTATCTCCCTTGTGGCTACATTCCATTTAATAGAATAATATGATGCATAGGTCCAACTGAAAAAGCAGCGTAGTCAATAAATGAATACGTGGACATTTTGATATTTTCATACTTTTGAGAGGAATTTTCAAAATTTAAATTCAATTTTCTCAAAACTTTCAAAACCTGACATAACTGGTTTTTCCCTTGAGCCCATCATGTATTTTTCGTACCAATTTTCTGTATTAATTAAGATAAAAAGTGATGAGTTGTTTTTGACACATGATATGATGACTGTCACTGCACTACTCCATGTCCATTTTTACGCTTTAAAACAAGTTCACAAGACATGTTTAAACACCCTGTAGACAAGAGTTTCTTAAACTGGGGTGTCCACAACGCCTAGGGGTTGGGGGGGGTGGGGGTGGGGGTGCTGGAGGCCGTCCAGGGGTGCGGGGAGACCCAGCATTTTTATCGAAGGCGTGCGGGAAATATGTTTTGAAATCAAGAGAGGTGTCGCGCTGCCAACAAGTTTAAGAACCCCTGCTTTAGACTAATCTTTGCGGCAAGTGTTCGCGCTGCGCCATTGTGTGCACAAAACCCGCCAGCATTTGAATAGCATTTAAAACCCAAACAAAACCTCACCTATGGGAAGTTCAAAGAAATTAGTTTCAAAATAGGATTTTACCTTTTCATTTTTTAGAGTGACATTGTTATTCATGTTAGACAGTCATGATTGCATTATTTTCAATATAATTCTTTCTGATGCGTCATACGAACATTTTTTTTTTGTTGTTGTTAGCAGACTGAACCGAATTACTCACGTGAATTATCAACAGTTGAAAAGCTAGAAATGTTTAACATTGTTTGGTTCCGGTCTACTAAAACATCCGAGGTGGCCCTACTGACGTCACTCGGTTCGCCGACCGACGCGTTGTAAACCGGTCCATCCCCAGGCTCAAGGCCTGGACGTTCGGCCATGCAGACGAGCGCCATCCCTATACTCTGACGGAGGGCGGTCTGGAACATTCTCAGCACGAAGAGCATGTACGCCAACGCCCAACGGCATGATGTGAACTTTTCCACGAACGTCCAGTTCGTTTTTCTTGGCGTTTCACTGGCCATAGTTATTAGCGTATAGTAACCTATAGCCTCAGTTGGTGGCCTTGTTAAACACTGGTCATTGCTACGGGTGTGATACTACTCTCTGTGCGGCCATTGTCGTTAGAGATGAACTGGTTGTAGAATCTTCATCGAGTGGAGTCATCGTTAAAGACAATGTCATTTGGAATAATGCGAAAACGTTTATTTCATTACTTCATAGCACGTAAAAGACTTCTTGAATTTTTCATCATAGTAGCCAGTGATGCCACTCTGACGTCATGCCACTCTGACGTCATGCCACTCTGACGTCATGTCACTCTGACGTCATGCCACTCTGACGTCATGCCACTCTGACGTCATGCCACTCTAACGTGATGTCACTCTGACGCCATGCGACTCTGACTTTGATGTCAGTTTTAATGCTCAGATTTGTTGACTAAAACTGAAATATGAAATAAATAAAACAAGATTAGAGAGATGGAGCAATGAACAAGCTTCTATTATTTAAAACTCGGATACGAACTGTGTTTTTAAAATAATTTTTTAAGGCTTTTAGTCGAAACGTCTGTTTTAATATCTTTTATTTGTTTCAAATTTTCCCACATATTGTTATTGATATTGTCTTCATATTGCTTGATTGCAGTCTCCTAAATAATATCATCCTTATAGCTTTATATGTTAGATGCCCCTCGTTACTTTTAATATTTTTTTTTTATAGTTTGATCGACTAAAAACACTTGCGTTCATTTTTTGTTTATTTAAAAATTCAATTTTTTAAAAAAATCAGAGTTACATTCTCTCAGAAAACAATCTTGTGAATCAAGTTTAGGCAATAATATAATGCCTTTAATTAAATAGTTTTATTACTCCAAAAACGCCAAATGAGAAGGGGGGAAAAAACATTAAAGTCTTAAGTGCAAAGATTCTAAAAACTCTCATTTGAAAGTGTGCATCCATTCGGTACGAGTGTCTAATTTGTATCCACCGTCCACTGTTTTGGTATCCTGTGTCAAAACGTGGCTATGCATAATCTGGCTTGACAGGCTTATGTATACAGTAGTCTGTAGTGGAGTCCTTCAGACCAGACCAATATTTTTGTATTGCAAAAAGTCCGACAGAATAGGATTGTTTCGTGCTCACAGTAGTTACTTGCTTGGGTCATTTACCTTATAACCCGGTATGTCTGCTCTACTTATTGACCAAAGACGGCTGATTACAGTTTACCTCCACATTCCACAGCACGCCCTGAAGACACCCGCCCCCCCCCACAATTACCTTTGATACCATAAACTTTCATCGATTTCGCGGTCCTATGTTTGGTCTTTTAAATATATTTCAATATATAGACTTGTCTGCTCTACTTATTGACCAAAGACGGCTGATTACAGTTTACCTCCACATTCCACAGCACGCCCTGAAGACACCCGCCCCCCCCCCACAATTACCTTTGATACCATAAACTTTCATCGATTTCGCGGTCCTATGTTTGGTCTTTTAAATATATTTCAATATATAGACATATTTATTGATAATCTCCTAATAAGACCAGGTATGTCTCTTAACAAAGTGGCAACTCGTATGAACAATACTTTAAATCAGTGGTTCTCAACCTCCCTAACGCCGCAACCCTTTAGAGGGTGTCCATTAATTGCGTCAACAATTTTAAGCAATTTTTTGTCCCTCCCCTCCTTGTCACTACTGTCGAACTTTCAATGATCCCCTTAAGAATTATGTCAACATTCCCCCCCCCCACACACACACACTTAAAAATGAATTATAATATCAATAAATAAGCAAAACAATTTTACTTTGTGCTGATCTGTTGTAATAACACACAATTGTAAGAAAAACATTTTATTGCATCTTTAGCTTATTAATCAACACGTTAAAATTTTATATATAACTAAAAATTATATAACTATTTTAATGTATACTCATTGAATTTGTTTAAACAATGTAATAACCAGTCAATTTTAGGATAAAAATTTTAATAAAGAAAACATGATTGTTGACATCAACTAATCTAACCCTCCTCCCTCTTGTCAACAAATGTCAAACATTTCCAAACCCCCCCCCCCTCCCCCTTATTTTGTTGACATAATGGATGACCCTTTAACACAGCTCCTCATGCAGTGGTGACCCCCAACCATAAAATTAATTTCGTTGCTACTTCATTAATATGTGTTTCTGATGGTCTTAGGCGACCCCTTTTTACGGCTCGTTCACCCCCCCCCCCCCCCCCCCCCAAAAAAGGGGTCGCGACCCACAGACTGAGAACCGCTGCTCTAAATGGTAATAGAACATTACCAAAATGTTCAAAACGTTTGTTCTGCTTTAGATCCGGTCCGGCGACCTGAACTCAAATGTGGCCCTTGGTTTTGGTGGCTGACTTAGGGCAACTCAGGGCCGGATTGTGACCTAAAGGCAAATGAGGCACGTGCCTAGGGGCCCCGCGCCTTTTAGAGACCTTGCGACAAAGATATATTTATAGGCAATTTATGGAAGGGGAGAAGAGAAAGAATTAAGGGAGGGCTGTCATCAAAGGGCGGCTTCTGGGCGCTTTCGTCGTGTGGTGACAGGAAAGTGGAGAGAAAATAGACGTTTGGTCTAGGCCTAAAAGATGATGGAAGCTTGAAAAGAGAAGACACGCGAGTTCATTGAACACTACCGAGGCGTAGTAATACAAACAAGTAGAAACTAAACCGTGAAACGTTTCAATCTGCTGGTGGAAAGTTGGATGGAACTCTGGCCGTGCTGGAAACAGACGTTATGTGAAGATCGAATCTTAATCCAGGAATTATGCGTAGATATAACTTTAGCATACGGTTTGAAAGCAGACTTATTTGACTAATTCTTGTTAAGCGTTTCATCAGTACAGATTCTTACATTTAAAGATATTACCGTGGTACAGCGATGTACCAATCAAATCACGTTACTTTTGAAGGGGGGAGGGGGGAATGGTGGGGCTGAAGGGATGCAACTTTTCGGTTTTATGTCCCCTGCATTCAAATTATGGTTTTTTCCCTTATCACAACTTTGATTATTTAAAAAGTTTTAAAAAAGGCTCTAAACACGTGACCTAATGCAGCAGCATCGGTTTCCGATTACAACGCCTTGTTCCATGTTTAGGCTACTGAGAATGTGGGTCACTTGTACCGTATAACCCAGTGTAACACCCATGAGAAAATGGGAGTCTCTTGTACCATATAACCCAGTGTAACGCCCATGAGAAAATGGGGGTCTCTTGTACCATATAACCCAGTGTAACGCCCATGAGAAAATGGGGGTCTCTTGTACTGTATAACTCAGTGTAACGCCCATGAGAAAATGGGGGTCTCTTGTACCATATAACCCAGTGTAACGCTCATGAGAAAATGGGGGTCTCTTGTATGGGAGTCTCTTGTACCATATAACCCAGTGTAACGCCCACGAGAGAATGGGGGTCTCTTGTACCGTATAACTCAGTGTAACGCCCATGAGAAAATGGGGGTCTCTTGTACCATATAACCCAGTGTAACGCTCATGAGAAAATGGGGGTCTCTTGTACCATATAACCCAGTGTAACGCTCATGAGAAAATGGGGGTCTCTTGTAACCATATAACCCAGTGTACCGCCCATGAGAAAATGGGGGTCTCTTGTACCGTATAACCCAGTGTAACGCCCATGAAAAAATGTGGGTCTCTTGTACCATATAACCCAGTGTACCGCTCATGAGAAAATGGGGGTCTCTTGTACTGTATAACTCAATGCAGTGGCGTAGCTAGGGTTGGTGTCACCCGGTGTAGCAAACTCATGGAGGCACCCCCCCCCCTTTTTCCCGACGTCCCCGATGGATTTCTTCTTGTTAAAATAAGTCCACAGTATAACAGTGACAAGAGCGAAAAAAAAATTAATTGAAGGCCAAGAGGTAAATATATTTAAGAACTGTAACAACGTTGAATTTTAGTTATTTTTACATTAAATTTAATTGTTCATTTCCTACTCTTCAAAGCTGCAAACCTGTCAGTGTCTTTAATCAATATCATTCATTGTATCACTTTCAATTGATAGTAGAGCCAGATCAGAAAGCTTTGACTGATCCACGGTGGATTGTAAAAAGTTCTTGATGAAGCCACACACACACAGATCGTAAGAAACAATCTCTCTCACAGACGCCGAGCAGCAGTTGTGAGTACCGCGCAGCAAATTTCCATGCAAGTAAGTAGGCAGTAAAATTTTGCGTAGAAGAAAATTGAACCTGAAAAACTTTGCACACAACTGTATGATTTTGCACACGAAATAACAAACCTTAGAGGGAACACTGAGCGAGAGTACTGGAAGAGATTCTAGGAAGTCAAAACATCAAATGACTTTCTGAAATTCATTATCAGCTGCCTTTAGGTGTCTTCTAAGTCTTGGTATCTCTTGTAAATGTTCATCTTGTGATAACTTATCATGGACACCAACAACTCTTGTTCACTTGCTGATAGTAGAGTCTTGGGTTGAACAGCCCGTAACATATCTGCTACTTCTTTGATCGCTGATGATCTGATCTAAGATTCAAAATGAAAGCGATCGTCCCACTTCAGCATCTGCTTACCGTTTTCTTCTCGCAGAGAGAGTCTATTATCTATTCATTGTTCTCCTGACATTCTCTTCTTAATCATCTCTCTATCGAAATCCATATTGGTCTGATTTTAAAAGTGACTTTTCAATAGCATGTTCCAAGTGACGTAGATCCTGCTGTTTAAGATTAACTTCCTCAAGCAGACAAACGTGAAATACAGACATCATGTAAAAAGATATCGTGCTTTAAGACAATCGTGCTCAAATTTAAGAGGCGGTGTTAGTGACGAATCGACGAAAATATTCAATTTTTAAAATATTTCTTTGTTTGGATATATTTTGTTTCATTTTTTTAAAAATTAAATAAAGTTATATTAATCTTTTTTTTTTTTTAATTTGTAAAACATTATTTTGTTAACTCTGTAAATGGATAAAAAGTAATTTTTAAATGGTTTTAATTTTTACCCATTCGATAAATGTACTTAGAATCGCCCGACAACATCGTATTTGGTATTAATGGAAAGCTTTATTTCTCATAATTTAGATAAATATAGGTTCCTGTCTCTGACGAAAGTTACCAAACATTTCAATCAGCGTTGAATCATGGTCAAAACCGGTGTTTTTCTGACTTAATTATAGGGTCACCTCATTTCTGACTCATCAACATCCTTGAACTTTTAATAAAACACGCATTTGGATTGGTTACATGTGTGGACAATTTTCATGTAATCGGTTATACTTTTATGAAATTCGGTTAGACCGAACAGTGTGTTCTGTAAATATGCAATTTTTCAATTCGTTGTCACCCCTTGTGATGGTGACACCTAATGCAGTCCGCAGCCTCATTCCCCCCCCCCCCCCCCCCCCCC